GATACCCAATTACCCAGATTTGATCATTACGCAGTATGATCACAGGTACAAGTATGTACAACTATTATGTAGTTATAAAAATTTTTTAAAAGCCCAAAATGTCAACCAGACCATACTAGATTTGATCTATACAAGAGAACTGAAAGTACAGAAAACAAACCTGGACATGAATTTAAATGTTATGGGTAGATTTCAGAAAGCGAGATCTCATGGGCTGAGGTTCTAAAAGGGAAGGTGGCTTAAGATAGTTGAGACGTCTCAGAATTAAATTCTAAGAACACTGGTGGAAAGCAGAGTACTTAATAATATCTTATATGGCTAAAGAGGGAGTTCTTGAATAAAAAGATTATAAAAGGCCAGGTTTTCAGAGGGGAATGAAGGCATGCGACCAACCAAGAATGAACATTATATAAAGGAAAGATAAGAATAGTGAAAGGGAGTTACAAGGCCCAGAATGAAATGAAACTGGAGGGGAAACGTCAGCAAAAAGGAGTTTTACCCATCATATTCAAAGGAAGATGATGAACAGGGAACAGAAGCGAAGGGCTCAGTCCTGAAGTGGATGGGGCGATAAAAACCACCTGTTTCCTATGCTCCATGAGCCAGGGACTGTATCATCTTTAACTCTGTGCACCGGGCAGCCAGCCCAACGCCTGTCACCCATTGGACACCCCACCAAATTTACTTTAAACCAAACTAACAGAGGAAGAAGTCAATTATCCAATTCCTGCTTAATTGACTTTTCTAGGGGGGTGGGGGATGGAAAATGTGGAATCAATAGAATAAATGAAGAAACTGAAAATTACTACACTTGACAAAATAAAGTTTTCAGTCAGAGTAAGAAAGTACTTGCTGATACATTCAGATGGCCTTAAAGTGGATACAGGTGTCTTAAGAGGTAGTAAATTAGTTTATTACTAATGAAATTTCCCTCCCTCTTTTTGCAGAATTTATGAAGCCATTTTGGATTAATAACACGATATATCACTGCATTAACTTTTTAATATCTTATTATACAACTATTGCATCTGATTAAATTGAAAAATAAAAAAATATAAATTCTCTATTCCTTTTGTTGCTAAAAATTATGCAAAATTTCATTCAACATCTTTCTTGCTTCAAGCTAGTTTGTGCATGCAATGTTTGAAAACAATACAACAAAGTAATTAAAATCACAACAGTGTTTTTCCCCTTTGTACCACATTCTAACCCAAGGTGCTAATGTTTCTTCAAATATTCAATGTCCCAATGTCTTTCTACAATAAAGCGGGTATTTTATTAAAATGAACACTAAAGTACTAGATCACTTATAGAATCTGTGAAAACACACAATATTGTTCAAATCCTACTCAATCCAGGATTGGGGTGTGATGTGTACGTAGAGGGGAGAATATAAAATAAAATAAAATAAAATATCAGAGTTTGAAACAAAATTAGGCAAATGAACAGTTTCATATCTTTCAGGAAAAAGGACAGATACAGAGAAAAACTACAGAAGTCAATTTTGAAGAAGACGAGATAAGTTTTATAATTATGAACTTTATTTTTATTTACTATGTATGCCAACATTTTCAGGAGAGACTTTACATCTGATTTTTATAATTCATTTTACAGGCAAATTCTAATATACAGTATGTACTCTGAACTGGTTTTTAAAAACAATGGGAAAATAATACTGCAGATATTATTTTTGGTTTTTGTTAGTAATGACTTAGAGACTTTAAATTCTTAGGGTCAGTATTATTTTGTTATGGAAATGCTTTACCAAGGAGAAAGTGGGTAGCTTTTCCCCAACAAGATTAAAACATATATCTTCAATTAATGACATAGTTGTAGATCGGCGCCCACCATCACAAATCATTTATCCAAAAGTATTCTTTCAAACTGCTGCAGCAGAAAACTTAAAGGGAGATGTGGAAAGATCATTAGAAAATAGAATTCAAGGATCAGAATTAAGAAAAATAGCAAGGCCATCATCCCCAAGGAAAAACATCAGGTATTTGTATTACAGCTATAATTAATTTTCAAATTATTGCATAAACATGCAAACATAACCATCCCAACTAATTTAGCAACACGAACACTACTGTGTAAGATGGAGAGTAAACTGAAATGGTGCTGCAGTCTTACTGATCTTCATTGCAAGCCTGTTTGGTGATTCTAAAGGACATCTCCAGTGCCCTAGAGACCAGGAAGCCAGTATGATAACTCTGCTCAGAAACTCAAGTGTGCACCTCTGTGTCTGTAACACTATCTACGCTACAGGAACATTTGGAAATGACAGCTATAGGGGGATCATGTTCGCTTTGATGCATTGAGAAAAATGAGTAAAATATTTAAGGGACAATGGAACATTCAAAGAAAACTTAGTACTTTAATGGGAAAAGTGACATGCTGGGAATATAATTCTGTGAAAGGCTGTACTGATATCTTCAAACAGCAACAATTACAGAGAAATTCTTTCAACAAAGCCACACCCAATAGGTGGCATTTTGATATTTCAGGCACAACTCCAAGCAATTAAGCTCATTTAAAGTGCAAATCTGATATTTTCTTTCGTATTCAGATTTTTACTTGTTAAAATACTTAGTAAGTTCCCTATTATCTATATAAATACAATGAACTGTAGCCTATATGCCTGAAAATATTGCACAAATGAAAATGAGACTCCAAAAGAAAAATGCTAGATGGCCTCAGTTATTAGAAACATTCTAAATGACATAACTCTATAATCCTTTGATGCCTTTAAATCATCTACACCTGTATCGATAAACTCCTTAGGCTAAGCTTTCTTTTAAAAATTTGATATGCATCCCATTAACAGCCAAATATCTGATTCTGCATACTCTAACTTCCTCTTTCACAAATGTGAAACTTAACCAATTCCATAAAACTTCCTCAGGACTTAGAATTTACATACTGCAACTATCTTCAGTAATGTCACAAGAACTAAGAGAGTAAGAGGTCTGAGTTCCTGCGGAGGAGGATTTGGCACAGAGTTGATTTACAGAAGCAATAAACAGAGATCAAGCTAACTCTGAAAAGCTGATCTCTGATTATTTCAACAGAGCTACATCCTCATGTCCATTTCTGACTTAACATTTACTAAGGAGCAGATAAGCATGATATTCTTACAGTTTTTAAAGAAAACTGTAGGCAAATATTTTATGTTGTTTATGCAAGCATCCTAGATTTTTTTTCTCTTAAATATATTATGCTTCATAATTATACTGATGAGCCTATTTTCTGCCAAGATTAAGACTCAACAAAGGTACAGAGAAGCTGAATTAACAGGTTAACATTTCTGCCAACTCATCAGGGAGAAACAAATAGAGCAGGAAAAATAAAAAAATTGCTGGAGTCAACATTTTTATGTACTAGACAATAAAGACATTTCCCTCAGACTAGGGAGATAAAAATAAATTAAAAATTAATAACTTTTACCTTCAGAATAAGGCCGACTTGTAAATAATGTTTCATAAGTGTCTATACAAACTTCTAAACAAACCAAAAATCTCCTAAGTCATTAGTATGTTTTACTTTAGGGACATATAGTATGATAGCATCCTATTTGCAGTATATGAGATCAGGTTTTTTTCTCCTTCAAAACGAAAGACCACATGTGCCCACTTGTAGCTGCAGCCATCATGGCTCATCTCCATTAACAAAGAAGTGCTTTGCTGATACGTCTGATGACTATACTGACAGTATCTGAACTATGTGAAGAACTTTCTGAATTTCATTGCTTCTCCAGCAGAAGTGCTGGCTCCTGAGAGTAGGATACCAGGTTTGCATTGCTCGTCTGTTACCAAATCCAAGAATGGTTTGTATCCACTGAATGGCAAATTCACTTGAATGGTTCTCTGACAGGTAAGGCAAGACTGTGTCAAAATGGCAGCAAACACTTCTTTTGAAATTTCTGCTAAAGGATTTGCTGCTGTTTCTCTTATAAAGGGGCAGACAAATTTACCAAGGTACATTTTTTAAATGAATCCCTAGAAATTTGAGTGACTTTTAAGGCCATAATCCCTTTTGATATATTTTTGGTCAGCTCCTCAAAACGAACACTGACCTTGTAAAGTGATCTTTCTGAAAGATACTCATTCAATTAAAGCAGCTACAGGTGCATAGCCTAAAGATGACATGATTTGGGAGAAAATGAAAGCGAATTTACTGAACCGTCTGACGCGTGGCCCCAAAACATGATAATGTTCGTGCACATGGTTGCTTGGAGGTTCCACAGCTACCTCTATAGCACATTAAAATAAATAAGCACATTGCCTTTGAAATACTTTTCAGTACCTTTTAATAAAACATAATTTTCCATCTTTGATTCTCTTTTCCTTCCAAAAATCTACCTTCAAGAAATTGTCAAACACACACCAACAGAAAAGGGAAACCTAGGACACTCAGAATTAAAAAAACAATTATTACAAATTCCAGCTTTCTCAAGATAGTCTTACTTAAATTCATAATTTTTCTCAAAATATTTTAACTTGTTTTGCTCTAGAAAATAGTTTTAAATCCCTACGTATAGGATACTTATATCCTATCAAAGTTTTGTGCAAATGTTTCAAGTCCATTATTCCAGTTTCTGATATTAGCAGAAAGTCAATAAACATAAATATTATAATTAAAGATAATATAAAATAAATGTTGTGGAACCTTAAAATGGCTATAATGGATCCATATGCCTATAGGATTCAAAACTGAATTACCAGCAAACTCTAGCACCAGTGTATGTTACAAATAGATACATCTTTAGGTACAAGTTTCAAGATGTACCTCAAGCTCTCCAAAATTTACCCAAGTAACAAATACAAACACAAATGCAGTGGGTTTGTGTGTGTGTAAAACAAGATGTTAAAGCAGTATATAATTGGTTTATATATAAGAAGAAACATTTTTAGCTTGGGGAATTTGTCCGGGAAATGAATAAATACTAATACTAGTTTGCTGATCCTAGCAAGAAAAAATAAAACTTAAATAGATTTTCCATGAAAAGCCTAATCTCCTTTATTCATCACGAAGCTTTTGCATAGACCTTTTAAATACACAAAACACTGGCCAGAACTCTGCTTATAAACTACCATCTTCCATTATCACCTCATCTTTAAAATAGTAGCCATATTCACAGGAGGGACAAGTAAAAAGGGGTGAGGTTCTGATAACCACAATAAATACAGACCTTAACAGCACTAAACCAGCAAAGCACACTTCTTGTCTGCTAAGTAGAATATTATGCACTTTCTGATGTACAGATTAATGCAAAACATGATTAGAGCCTTTGGCAGGCCTCTGAAATGGGTAAGCAAACTTGGGTTTACCTGAGACAAGTATGCTCGAATGGCATGTACTTCAACCAGGATATAAAATGGAAGAGCCAAACTAGTAGAAGCTTCCACATTTTAACATTTGCAGGCTTTTTTTAATGGAACCTCCACCATGGTAGCAAACTGCACATAAAGCTATTACAGAACAGTTTTTAAAAAACCAAATTGGCAGGTGATGGCTATGTACTTAATGTATCTTTGGTTTAGGAAGACGAGAATATCGATTAGAAGCCAAACAGTCCCCAGAATGCAAATTGCCATTTGAACTGTGCATGATTTCTTTTCTTTGTGTTAGTGGCCTTGGGATGCTTGTCTTGGCCTGGAAGCTTTGAGGCTCTAGTTGGGGGTTGCTTATTTGTTTTTGTTTGAAAGAGCCTGAGGGGGGGCGGAGCTTAGACGCTTTCAGGTTTGGATTATTTATAAGATTTGTTTGACTAGACGTTGGCTGAAGTTTTGCTGAATTACATGTTGTGATTATCGGTGACTTCTTACAAGTGAGAGTCCTATTTGGAGATGATTCAGAAACTGGAGGAGGTACCAAAGAATTCAAGATGGATGGCTTTAAAAGCTGCACGGACTTGGGCTGAGCCATACAGCCCACTGGCAGAGACTGATTTCTTCCAACTCTCTTAACCTGGTCTACTGTACTTGATTGGGGAAGTGTCTGAAGAGAAGTAGATACAAACTGCATGTCACTAATTTGATTATTTGCCAAATGATAAGGCTCTTGAGCATCCACAGTCATGTTCAAGTTTCCTTCAGAAGGTGTACTCTTAGCCACATCCATTGTGAATTGTGGGCTTGACGAAAAAGGCCGGTCTTCCAAACCGTAGTTGCTTTCTTCTTCCAAGCCGTGTGTAAAGCTTTCATCCAGATGTGCAACACCCTGATGCATGCCCTGGGTCGTGCATTCACTGCGGGCCTCGATAGGTTGCGGCTTTATTAGTTTTCCCTGGGCATGGTCTGTGGGTCTGGGAAGGCTGCTGGAAGGCTGTAGTACTTGAGGCTGTCGAATTAAAAAAAAATTAGCAATAATTTATCTTAGCAATGCCATCTAGAATTAATATAAAATAAGTTCTAATTAGGCTGTGTTGGTACTTATTATGTTTTAATATGGAGAGTATGCGGGATTTTTTAAATTAAAAAATTAATTACAATATTCAAGCAAATTCATGAGACACATATAAGAGTGATAATGTGAACAAAAAAATGATACAGGCAGTAAACACTAAACAAGATCCAAAATTAAACAGTGGGAAAGAAAATATTAAAGTACTGATTTGTTATAGAAAAAAACTTCTGCCCTAATCAATTCATTACGTATTTAAAACCTTACATATAAGAGACCTTGACAGAATGATTTCTATAGCATTTTGGTTTAATCTCCATAAGCAATCAGATATTAACTGTGATCTTCAGAATATTACCCATTTTAAAGTTTTTTAAAAAGTAAAGTTGTACACCATGTTACCAAATGTTGTACTTCTGTCAAGAATTAAAATTACCATCAAATAAACAAGGTTTAGAATAAAAATTATATTCTGTTTATGTGAAATTCTAATTACTTAAATAAAATCTGGTCCACACATTTGGCTGATGCTAACCTATCCTTAATATTCTTGTTGAAAATTTTCAGAATAAAATGTTTCAAAGCTTATTTGTTCTGTCTCATTACTGTTATGGCTGACATGTGGAAAACAAATCTACCCTGACCAAACAATGAACATTCATTTAGGAAAATTAAAAATGATCAGCCTTTTGAATGATGGCTGAGAATAAGTCAAATTTGAAATTGCCTCTAACTGGAACTGAAGCACAGAAGCTTATGATAACAAAGTTCTTAGGCCAGTATGCCCCCACACATACTTCTCTGCAGCCTACTACGTGGTTACATTCTACAAAAATCAGAGAAAACATGCAATTTCCATTACTTTGGGTATCCAGTAAAAAAAAAAGTTATCTTTCAATGGTCCAAATAGTTAAAACATATGGGGCAGGGCCTACTGGGCCTGTCCTGATATAGGGGTGGTTGCTACCAATGTATAATCCTTACCAGCCATAGACATACTTTCCGTTAAATAATGAGAACTAAAACATCAAAGACCTTGGCAAAGGGTTCTGACATGTGAATTTTCAAGGACCATTTCTCGCTAATAACTTTTTTTTACTATGCTAATCCAACAAATAAATCTACCTTGCATCTCGAATTTCCCCAATAGAAGGGGCAGATCTATTGATACTGGATTGTTTTTTCATTTCTTTCACCTCCTTAACTAGCACTTAACAAGAGCTGCCCAGGATCAGCATTCAGGGGTTAGATTAGGGCAAGGCTGGTAGTCACTGAGAACAAAGCCCATGGACTCGCAGAGGGATGGGTGGCTCCGTAAGGGCATAGGACTGACCTGCTATTTAAAAAAAAAAAAAATCAAGACAACCACTACTCAAAATTAATCTGTACAGAAATATGTTACATTAAATCACATTGCAGAATGTACAAAATAAACACGCCATCTCAGTTGCTGCCTCAAGGTAATGTCCCAGACTTTAACGTCCCTGGGCATTTTCACAATAAATCACCACACAGATGAATAAACTGTCCCTCAACATAGAAGTACTAAAATTACCACATAATTAATTCAAGGGACTCTCCTTGGGGTTCCTTACATAAACATAAGTATGCCAAAGTAATCAAAAACCTTAGAAACATTAGTGAAAAAAATAGAGTAGGGCCATACTAAACAAGCCAAAATCTACCAAAGAGGGAATTTGTTTTCCCTTTTCACCTCTTTTTACCTTCAAACACAATAAAAATATTCTAGTCTGAAGTTAAAAATCTTAAACCAATTTGAGATTTTTGAAAGTATCAGTGATAATTTTAAAAATGACTTTATTGTAATGTCTATTGCCAGTAAGAAAAAAAAAGTTTAAATCATGTGCTATCAGCTTAAAGCCTAAAAAGGTATGATTTCCAATAAAGACAAGTAATAAACTGATTATTAAGACAACCAAACCTTCAGAAAAGGGGCATCATGAACTGTAGATGAACTACCCATTTGCACTGTTCTGATTACTCACATTACTCAACTGACCACTGCTTGTTAAAGAAATAAATGAGTCAAAAAGAGTCGGAAAGAGTCTGCTTGTATAAAATGCAACAAAGCTTCATATCAAATATTAAAGAATTAGAAAATAACCACTTTTAATAAAATGTTGAGTCTTAACTGAGAGGAGTTAAACAGTTATATAGATAGATTTCTAAACTATCAATTAATTACATTAAATAAATCAGTGCTTTCTGTATGCTAAATGTAGATTCTAGGTTTTTCTTAAAAATTAACTTTAATGGTATAACTTCCCTATCCCAAAATAAATGTCTTGTTTTATTATTTACTTGAAAACTATAGTTTGGAAAATCAATTCCACTACTGTAAAGTAAAAAAGTCTCTTTCAAGAGGAATAAGAAATGACTATAACGTAAGAACCAAGGAAATGACTTGCCTCTGATATGTGGAAGTGGTTACCCACTAAGGACTAGACTGTCATTAACTACCTGCTGGCAAGTTGAATAAGCTACCTCTTAATCTCTAGCATGCAAAGCAGAAATATGTTCTGATGGCTTGTTGATTATACGACAATTTCTCCGAATTCTAAACACTCAACTGCGTTAATATAAAGGCAAGATGTTAACAATTCATCTTGCCTACATCCACTACTGCTTCTATGGCCATAAAAAGATGCCCTCAGACATCTGCAGAATGAATTCTAAATATAAAAAGAAAGATCCCATATCCTCATAGAATAAAACTAATAGGAAGGAATGTCAAAGGCTATTCACTTTTTAAATGTCTGTTAAGAATCATGTACTGTACTAGGTGTGGGAAAATCTGGAGCTTAAAATAAATTTGTTCCTATGCTTGACAAGCATAGCTAGGGAGACAATAAGGTAAACAAATGATGAGACCATGTCTCAACCATAGCATATGAGAACAAAAAGAAAACATATGCCTGACCAGAAAGGTCACAGAAGGCATCCAAGAATCACAAACAATCTGCGCTGACTCTTAAAAGGGTGAGTAGAAGTTTTCCAGGTAGACAAGAAGGGAAGAACATTCTGGGTAGTGAACTAGTACGTGGTAAGTGCAGAGGCAAAAGAAGAACATGGCATATTCATTCTGGCCACTTCAAACTGATTAGACAGAATTTCAAAGGACAGTACAGAAGTGTAGGTAAGGGCCAGCTCCTGAAAGCACTCATGTCAGGCTAAGTAGCTCTGACTTGTGAGCTGTAGATGACGGGAGACAGAGTTGGATTTTAAGTAGAGCAATGAGAATGCCAATGTGGGTTTTACAATAATCACTCCATTGTAATCAGTGAGGAACGCAACCAGAAGGGATGAAATTTTAAGAAGCACAGCCAGGTAGTAGGCTATTGCTAACAGCCCAGGTAATAAATTATAAGGCTTTAAAATTAGAATACTGGCAGAAAAACTGGAGAGGACTGAAAGAGATCTGAAGGTGGACAGGCAAGGTGGGGTGCTTGCCTTGCACCCAAAAAAGGCCTCTCAGGAAGTTGCCCGCCAGCCCATGCACTTCACAGCCTCAGCAGCCCACAAGACCCACAGGGAAAAGAGAAATCCCACACTATTGGCAGGACTTCAGGAAACTCCCTGTAGTCACAAATGAGTAGAGCTCTAATCCTCGCAACTTGTGGAGGGGGTCGTTACGGAAGCATGGAAATGTGAATCCGTTTCTCACTAGAGAGCTAAGTGCCTCTAACTGGTCTCAGCAACTTCAATTCTTATTTTAGTCAGATATATAAACTTCAGCGCACCATTCTGAGACCTCTCAGATTAAACATTTCCATGTGTCAAGGTCAATAGTATCAGCAACAGGCATTACTGCGTTGTTGTACAAAGGCTTGGTAGGCATCTTTAATGATAATCATAACTGTCTATTTTGGGCTGCTCACAAAGATAGCCAAAGACTATGAGCTCTTTACAGGCATGTACCATGCGTTAATCATTTTTTGTTGTAGTTGGAATTACTAGTATTTGGTACATAGTAGGGCTTAAATAGATATTTGCCAGTCAAATGAATAGGTGAATGAATATTAGTGGTATATTCAAGAATTGCTTCTTTGGCCATAAATTATCAAAGTGACACTTTCCTATTAGGTCAATGATGAAGCATTGATTAAATAAAAACCAGTCTTTTACAAACGTTGAAAATAAATCTGATAATAGAAAAAAATTGTTTTCTCCTAATAAGTTTGGGGTTAGTTTAACGATTCATGTCAAGAAGGATAGCAGGAAAGACTAATTACATGTTAACTTGAACACAAGTACCTCTCATGATCTCTAAACTTGGCCACCAAATGTTTTTTACTTGAAGACTAGACATTTCTGGGCTAAATAGGTTGGGAAAACTGTCTTAACAAGCATTCAGCTATTTTCCATTTCTATTTCTAATAATTAAGTATGTTTATTCACATACAACACTTAGCATAGGACTTCCTAGCATATAATATGTATTCAGTAAATTTCATCTATGATTATTAAAAGGCATAAAAACGAAGAGTTCAAGCCATAGCCCTTTTGTAACTGGGTCTTGGGGGGGTCAAAGGTAAGTTATTTAGCAGTATAATAATAAACTAGTTGTTACAGAATATGACGTTTCTAGGCTTCAAATACGTAGTTCAATAATGTCAATACTATCTAAATGTTTTAAATCCATATATGTAATATGATACAGAAGTCAAAGATTCCTTAACTGCCTTCCTGGAGATAATAACAAGAACTAGGACATGTAAGACATTTTAAAGTTTAGAGAGTCAGACTAATATGAGTTTGAGTCCTAGATCTATTGCTTATCATTGGTGAGGTATCACAAATAATTTCACTATCCTGAAATGGAATTTCATAGTTTATAAAATGAGGATAATACCAGTATCCATATCTCATGGAACTGTGGTAAAGAATAAACAATAACATACATTCAAAGTACTCAG